CCAACTGGGTGGCAAGCCGCTGTGGCTTTTTTGGTCTTTTTAAGGTGTGAACACAGCATGCAGCGATAAGTTTCCTTTAAGTGAAACACCTGATGACCTGGAATAAAGTAAAACTTATGTAACAAAATATATTGTGTCTATTGACAATATGCTTGATCAGTAGAAATGGGGTCACCTACGTTTTTGCCTTATCAAGTAATAACATAAGTCCCAGATATTACACACCCTCATCCTGTGGAGCCTAGCAGTTTAACTTTGCCAATGTGGCTGCCTGTCAAGGTGAAGTCTTTTAGTAGAGGGCAGGTTATGCATCTGAATATATTCACCTAAACGTGTAGAGTTACATGTTGGCTTTAGGACTCATAGCAGGACTATTTCTGCTGTTGATCTGTTTATAAACTGCATGGTGGCATTGCGGCCTCTTATTGAATGCGATTCAGGCTAGTTGGTGGCTGTAGATCAGCACGTTGCTGTTGTCAAATGTTACATAAAAAGTTGACGGATAGAGTGTCAGGCAAAAGGATCACCATTAGAACCATAATATCCAGACCTCATTTTAGTGCTTGCTCTGTCAACCCCAAAGCTGTACATGGCTTGACTCTGCCTTTTCAAGTTCATTTTTTTTTTGTTGATCTTGTTTCAATCTTTGTGTCGATAGGCATTACCTGGAGGCCCGCAATCTGAACCAGAGGCTGGATTCTCAGGAAGACTACAACCGTGAACGCAGCCTGGATGTGGCCTGCAACAATGACGGCTGTGAAGATGCTTACAAAGACAGAGATCTCGACTGGCACCACTACAGCAAATCATCTGGCCGTAGTGGTCGCAGCAGGCGAAGCAGTCGCAGGCACAGAGATAGAAGACACAGGCGCAGTCATTCTCGACACAGGTCCTCCTCGGTATGGGAAACTCCTTCTCCCCTCTTCTTCCTTCCTCTAGATCTCCATACTAAATGACTCATTGTCATGGGTGTTAAGCCAATGCTAAATACCCATCTCTTTCTTATATCTGTCGTACCCTTCATAGTTTAGCATGATGTCTATTAATTTCAGGTAAAATGCTTTAGGATTCAGAAAATTAAAGGTTTTGAGTGTTTAGAAAGGGGCAGGAGAAAATGGACCCAGTATCTTTGACAAGATCCTAGTGGTCGGTGATGGGACATGATTTAGAGAATTTAAACTGTTTGAAAGTTTACAAAAAAGCTTTATGTAAAAAAAGTTTAAAGAATCAAGTTGAAGTGTTTCTGTACTTCTGAGAAAACCTCTCATCTGAAAATCTTGTTGCCATGTTGTTTTTCTTCTGTAACACACACCATGTGGTGGCCGCCGCCCATTTTCTCTGACGGGGCTGAATTTGAATTTGCTGCTCCGCCCATTCCTCCGGTGGTGTTACTGAACGGCCTGAATCTGTCCACCCCTTCACCTCCCCCCTTGGCCTGGTTGAATGAATGACGATGTCGCGTTGTGGTGGCCGGGTGCTGGCTGGCTGGGTTATTGGTGTGATGGCGGATTGCGGCGGTTCCGGTGCAGAGGAGGAGCCATCGCCGCAGGAGCAGGAAAAGATCCAGGAGTGTTGAGGATGATGGCGAGGGTCACCTCATCTATCACAATGGAGACATGCTGAAAGCGAGATGTATAGAATATACACTCTTTATTTTTTATTTTATTTTTTTTCTACTGTTCACACTTTGTCTCTCTCACTCTGGTTGACTGGATATTTTCCAACATTAGATTAGATGTAGAGATATTTGTCCTGTACAGTTAAATGAAATCTTCTCATTTTGATTAATTTTCTGGTTAACATTTTTAGGAAAAATCTGTTTGCCAGTTTTTTGTAGCTAGACAGAAATGTTAGGATAAAAGCTTGTAACTGTATTCATGTTTTCAGTGCTGTTTGTCTAATTTTACCTCTGTATTTCCCATAGATGAAATTGTGTGTACTCTAGGAGAGGGTGCCTTTGGGAAGGTTGTCGAGTGTATCGATCATGACAAGTAAGTCGAGATTGTTTTTTTTATTTTTTTAGTAAAAATCTTTATACTTTGAAGTTATGTCCATGTATAACAATTCTGATAAAAAAAAAAACATTTTTAATGGATTTCAGTGATGGGGCTCGAGTGGCTCTGAAGATTATAAAAAATATAGACCGCTACAGAGAGGCAGCTTTGTCTGAAGTAGAGGTGCTGAAACACCTGAACACACTCGATGCTGGCCGAAGATAGTAAGTTAATTCTTTATAGTAGAGATGGACCAGTTGGGCTGTTGGGTGTTTTTTTTTTTTATTTTTTTATTTTTTCCCTCCCCAAGTACTGTACTGTGAATGAGTTATAAGCTTGAGAATCTCTTCACAACATCTCCAGCAAATTGTTGCATCTCTGCATTAGTGTTAAAAACTGTGTTTTAAAGCTATATTGTCTTTCTTTCCCTTGACAGTTCTTGTGTCCGTATGCTGGACTGGTTTGACTATCACGGCCACATCTGTATTGCTTTTGAGCTGCTTGGACTCAGCACATACGATTTCTTGAAGGAAAACAACTTCCAGCCTTTCCCCGTTAAGCAGATCAGGCATATGGCTTACCAGATCATCCGAGCTGTAAAATGTAAGTAAAGCTCGGTCTTGTGCATCCAATATGAATAACAAATGTTTTCATCAATGATAATCATTTCCTTCTTTTCATTTTCAGTTCTGCATAAGAACAAACTGACTCACACAGACCTGAAGCCTGAGAATATTCTGTTAATAGATTCAGACTACGACATGGAATACAACCGATCAAAGGTAAATTAATGACGACCACGTACGCCATTGTTGTTCAACTTGAAGTTACAGCCATTAAGCCTGCGATTTGTTCTCAGAGACGAGACGAGCGAACACTCAAGAACCCCGATGTAAAAATAGTGGACTTTGGTAACGCCACCTATGATCATGAGCACCACACCTCTGTCGTCTCAACTCGTCATTATCGTGCACCTGAGGTTATTTTAGGTGGGTATTTTTATTACAGTGAGAAAACATGAAAAGCATCTTTGCCTGGTTTGTGGAATGATGTAAAATGTCTTTCAGACCTGGGCTGGGATCATTCCTGTGATGTCTGGAGTATTGGTTGTATCCTCATTGAGTATTACCTTGGAACCACCCTCTTCCAGGTAGGTGGCAGCAGAGAGCAGAATGACTGTTCTGATCATTACTGTACTTAATGATGTTGGCTTTGTTGTCCTGTTTAGACCCATGACAGTAAAGAGCATCTGGCTATGATGGAGAGAGTCCTGGGCCCCATCCCTACAGATCTTCTGGAGAAAACAAAGTAAGCGTCATTTCCAATAATATTTATATTTTGCATTTTGATTGTAAATGCTTGATGTTTCTGCACTTCTCTTTGTTAGTCTCATACATTTGTAATCATCAAACAAATTGCTATTAACACTGCTCAAAACAATTAGTACAGCTCTTCTTGGCTGTTCTGTTGAAAGTCCCTAAAGTATTATTACTAACAAGAAAGCGTTACAAATAAAATTCTCTGACAATTGACTACTTGTTTGGGAACAGTCTCATTTTATATTTACCCTTGACATGCAGGTCTTATTGATCTCAATAAATCAGCTGCATAAGATGGAGAAATGCATTTTTAAATATATTCACTGTAGTTGAACTGATCCCTCCTCCTGGGTCTCACTTTTAAGTTGTTTTTTTTAAAGCTTCTAATTGTGTAAATTATGCTTTTCAAGTGTTAGAAATATGAGATTTGATATTTAATTTGGTCTGTTATTTCCGCCCCCTAGGAAACGACGATATGTCCACCGAAACAAGTTGGACTGGGATGTTCACAGCTCTGCTGGGAGATACGTCAGAAAGCACTGCAAACCCCTTAAGGTACAGAATTCAGAAAAGAAACTGATTTTACCTGATTAGGAAAAAAATATATATTTTTGTTACAACTAACCAGCTAGAGATAGTTTGGTTTCTCTGTAGCCTTGTTGGCTAATTGCTATAACCTCCTACTCTCCTCCACAGCATTACATTGTTTCCAGAAGTGAAGACCACCGGCTCCTTTTTGACCTGATAGAGAAATTGATGGAATACGATCCAGCAAAGCGGCTCAGTCTGGAGCAGGCCCTCAGACACCCCTTTTTCGATTGCTACTACAAGAGCAGCAGTAACTGGAAGAGAAGCAGCAGAGGCAGCAGCACCAGAAGCTCCAGCAGCAGCAGCCATGGTAGCAAATGAGGCTGAAAATGTGAACCCAGCTGTTACCATGACGAGAACGATGGTGCTACCGGCCTCTATGTCCCACCTCTCCAGGAGAGCTTTACTCTTGACTGTATCAGTCACCGGCCCGCTTTGCTGTTATGTCCATTAAACCACCATTTAGACTTATAATTTCCTGTTTTCATGTCAATTTATGACTTTATTTAAATTCTAGTTGAAGCTTTTTCAATTAAAGTTTTCATTCTGTGCATATTTACTTGATATAGATGAACAAAGCTTTTTAATTCTTGCTCACCAGTGCTTTCTTTAGGGTTGTGGGTATTGTTCAAATAAAAAAATTGTAGCAGGCTGAAAATTTGTAAATAGTCCTTGTTTCCTTTTCAATTGTCTGGTTATGTACTTATTTTTTGCATATGTCAATAAACGTGACCAGAGGGAAGAAGCATTTTGAGTAAGCCTCTTATTTCTATGCAGTACTTTAAGTTGTCCACATGATGGCAGCATGGATCCTTTTGAAAAACTTTGCTGAAGTAAAACATCTTGATCTCAATACTTCATTTATCAGAATGGCTCCAATTAGAATATTATGATAGGTTTTTTTTTGTTTTTTTTTACAAAAAATTTTAATTTTAAGGGGATTCTTGATGAACAGTATGTTTTGATAAAGGGGTGTCTAATTGAAAAACCAACTGATAAATCTCAGGGCAATGAGGTAGAGGTGCAGGGGTAATAAGGCTGGTTGTGAGTTTGGCGCCCTGAGGGATTCCCTGTGATCCTCCCAGGTCATTCTCACACCCTGTTGTCAATCTGCAGCCTCCCACGTGGTCAGGCAGGGCGGCGCAGCCACGCCGCTTTAATACGCAACTTTTGTATAGGACAACATCTGATCCAGTCCCATCTCTGCAGAAAGCTCCGGTGTGAGTGTGCTTGGTGTCCAGATCGCTCCCATCTATCCATGCTCCAAATCCTGCGCGCACTGTTGCGTCCTAGTCCAGGACTAATTTAGAACTGCGCTTTAACGCCTGATCCCTCTGTGCTGTTACTGCGATAGGAGCGCTACGAACTTTATGAAAACCTTTTAACAGGAGCGTTTTAACAAAAAGGGAATTTCGGCTGTATTTCTGGGAGCTCACAGCATGGAGAAAGGAAACAGCGGCTCGGACGGGGAAAGCAAGCCGGAGTGCCAATGTGCCACCAAGCCCGGGGTCCAGCGGTGGCTGCCGGGCTTTCCTCTCCTGCTCTGTCTGCTCATGTCTCTGAGCTCCATCACCGTGTGTCTTCTGATGGGCTTCAGGACCCACCAGCTGGAGAACCGGCTGCACATGGAGCTTGACAAGGCGTCCATCCTCCTTTCTCCGAAGAGGTCTTTCCTAAACGAGGATGGGACCCTGATTTCAACGCTCAGCGCCCCAGTGGGACAGCTGGTGGAGGAGGTAGATGATCAGAAATCGATTATTCTTGTTAGATAAATCTGTAATAGTTGGGGAATGTTTTCTATCCTGTGCGCAATTGCAGCGCCATAAGTAGATAAGGGATGTAAAGGATCATGTATTCACCCATTAACAAAATAAAGATGGGAAATAGGGTGATTGTATCTTGATCAGCTCTAATGATATTACCACTTCTTGCCACACGATTGATCAAAACTATACATAGCAACTAAAAGCAAGCATTTTAAACTTTGTGTTTAAAAGTTTGGAGATGCCATGCTCTGCTGCATGGGCTTTAGTGATGGATCAGAATAGATACTTCTATCAAAACAGCTGCTGTATTTTTATTTCTTATGGTATTTAAAACAAAAACAGAATTGTAATGGGCAGGTTGGACCTTAAAGAAAACCCAAAACTGGTATCAACTAAAAGCCTGATCAATGCACCTGTATAATAAGTTGCTATGGCAAAGGGCGTACAGTCTGTCAGCCCACCCTGGGATGCTCTAAATAAAAGTTTGATTGTTTTAAATGTAGCATTTCTCGCCCCTCTTCAGTTTTTTCTACTGGAACTCTTATGTTTGCAGAAAATGGCAGCTCTGATGCCAAAATTGCGGACAGCTAGGGATATTGGCCAAGGGTGCTCCTGTCCTCCAGGTACGTATATATCTGCTTTCTTCATGTTTTAGACCACCAGCTCCAAAACACATAGAATAAATAACCGCTCTCTCTTCAAATATGATTTTAAAGGATGTGCAAACAGTTTTTTTACTCTTGAAGTAGAAGGTTTGGCTGAGTCTTTAAGGCTGGGTCCAGCCTGATCCCTCCTGACCTGGGTCAGTTTGGTAGGGGGAGGGTTTCTGGTGTTTATTACAGGAGGTTTGTGATAGTTCCCTGGGTGGAGAACGGTGTGTGTTCCACATCATGTTACACACACACACATGTCCCTGTGATTCCTGTGGTTTTTAGGAAGATGCTATCTCTCCGATTGAGGGTTAAGTTGCTGTTCCAGGGTGATGTACGTGCTGTGAGGTGCCCACACATACCAGCGAGCCTCGAGCTCCTGTTTGAGTGACCTGCTGACCAGCTGCGTATTTGATAGTGTACATATTTTACTTGACCTATGGAAGGGGAAACGGTAAAGGGCAAAATCCTTTGGCTTGTAGGAACAGGATGTGTGTTCATGACAGCGTGTGTGTGCTTAATCAAAGCTAAGATTCACACATAACATTTATTTACAGTTGAAATTACAAGATGTTTTTTTTTTTTTTTGAAAAATAAAAATCCCCAGAGGTTGATGATGTCACTACCATGTTTCACCTTGTGTGTTCAGAGTGATGCGCAGTGTTGGTTTCCGGTAATCTAACAAATTTCATTTAGATCTTGCTATATTTGAGATGCCCACATATTATTTGTCCAAAAAGAATTTAACTGGACCAAATTTTGACAGGAATGTCCAAATATTTAAGATGTTTTAGTATAAACCCCATTAATGCAAATCAAGTTATTACCTCACATCAATCTATATGCTGGGTTGTGTTTTATATTCCCCTGAAATGTTGTGGAATGAAGCGGTTTTGCATTGAAATCCAATCCCTCATTGCATCTATTCATGAGTCTAAAGTGTTTTTTTTTTGTCTTTTTCCTCTCATTTTCTGGTTTGGTGATGTGGTTTGTTTTCCGTCTTTAGTAAAACAAAGGACTGTGTTGTTTATTTCAGCTTTGATGCAGCCGTCTGCTTGTGAACGTTTTTGTTTTGGACTTTGCAGTTAGATTGCCCAATAGATTCTTGCTATTATCTCTTCAAACAAAGACAAATAAAAAGTGACCCTTTACGAAGTTATGTGGTCAGGGATGCACTAATATGCAGGTATCTGAATGTCCCTTGGCTCCATGTCTGAATCCCATCTGCATGCTTGTGAGAAAGTTTACAGTTCATATCGCAGAGGCATGCGGGTGCTTGAGCGGTTGCACATCAGAGTTCTGGACCCTCTGCCTTTGAGGGTCCCGACAGAAGCCCCTCTCCCATCACGACTCCGTAAGAGGAGACCCTCCTCCCCCCTTTAGCACCAGGTCCTGGCATAGAAACCTGAGCTTGTCCACCTCCGGTATCACAGGCCGCGGTATTTCTCCCCCTCTGTGTGAGTGAGAGCTGCCCTGTCACACATCATGAGTGGCATTTCTGCCATGAAAGTTATGCCCTAACACTGACTCCCTGGTTCATAAGGACCTGTTCGCCAACAGGGGGCAGCATTTCTGCAGCTCATTTGGAGATGATAGGCTGTTAAAACATTCATGGATGATTCTAAGAGGCAGTTTTCCCTTATAAAAACGAAATCACTCGTAACGTTGAACATCTTGGCTGGAAAAAAAAGCCTAAACGGTGTCATTAGATGCAGCACTTTGATCTGAGGAACTTTTTCACCCCTCGTGTCTTCACTTTGTGACACTTTTATGCTCATAGATACAAGATGGCCAACAGCTGTTAAGACTCAGGCAAACTGTCACTGAGAACAACTCTGCTTACAAGCTTCAGGTGTTTGCAGTTAGCACCCAGCCGCTCGTTCAACTGGCTTGCACACAACTTCACTCAGGCTGCCCACCATACAGAGCTGTAGTACTTGCACTCGAACACCTCTCCGGTGCCTGCAGTAACTAGAGCCATGTGGAGGCTTTTTGTGTCCCACGTAGAACAGGGTGTATTGTCACGTTTCTCAAGCTTGCATTTAGAAGCTGTTTAACAAGCCTAATACCAGACGACAATTCTCTTTTTACGGCCTCTGCATTTTCTGACCCTCACCTTAATGGCCTTCTGTGTCTGTTTGGACATTTGGTCACAAAACACACGGTTTTTAGAGGAAACCTTTAAGACAGAGTTGAAATGAAGTGAAACAGGAGCTAACATTGAAAAATACTGGAATAAAACTCATTAGAGGATGTAAAGACTGCAGATTTGAGTGGGAATTTCAAACTAAAGCAGATGCATGAGTTAGAATGGTTAAGTCAAAAGTCCAGATCCTGCAAGTCTTCAAATGTGTACAGAAGAATTTTTAAGTAGAACCAAGGCCAGCTGTTTCAGTGTCATGATGATTGAAGATAGAGGTGACAGAATAAGAAAAGGGCGGTGCAGGATGTCACCATATATCCCTACATTCACTTTCCTTTCATTTCAAAATGATGCACTAATTGTGGTTTGGTTAAAACAAAAATCTGTGACACAAACACAAAATAAAGTTTTTGGTATTTAATGAGCAAGAATGTTGAAATATGTGGGAGTTCATGGATGCAATTTTTTGGGGGGACAGGGAGGGACACCTTTTTACTGCCCAAAAACAATGTTACGCTACCGTACAGACATTCGTCGAGCACCTGAACCAAGCGGAATACTCCAGCTAAATCTGAAGCCCACTTCCCTGAGTTTAAACCGTCTGCAAGCTCCCGATTGGCCCACCGTCTTTTCTTGTGTGAGTGGCTGTCACCGCTGTGACTCCTGAGAAGCTCACTTTACAAACATCTGATGCTCTGCTGAATGGGGTCTGTGATTGGATGGTTAAACACCCTGAAGTTAGTTATATTAAAAAATACTTGCACGCACCCTCACTTCTGAAATCAAAATTTCATCCATGTAGGAGTTTGAATACTAACCTGACTCCGCCAGATGGATTTGCTCCGCATATCCATCTGGAAACCTTCCGTTGAAGTAATTTTTGGAAAGGGGCGAAAATGCAGGTTAGCTGATTGGCCTATGTTGGTGATAGACGGGCCAAATAAATCAATCAGATCAACGAAGCATATGACGTAACAGAGCGACGACGAAAATACAACCACAAGCCAGTCGGGAGAAGAGCAAAAACATCTTTTCCTCTGAGAAAAGCCTCCAGAGCAGTGTTTTGCTCTTCTTTCAGTGAAGAAATACTCTGTAATTCTGATAAAACTTGCTCGATAGCCACGCTAACGCTAGCTTCATCGGCTGAAGCCGCCATGTTCTTTAGACTGAACTGTCGCGCTTCTCGTTGCGTCACACCTCAACCCGCCTCAAAGCCAACGCTGATTGGACGTTCGTTTGGTGAACTGCTCCAAATTTTCTTTAACGGAAAGTAGCCAGACTGATCTGCGAGTGAAACCTTGAAAGCTTACGAGATCGGGATGGTCTCACAAGTCTATTTGAATACTACTGCAAGACAAGATTATTGAATACATAAATGTAGGAAGTACAGCTTTATTTGATAGTGTTCATGTCAGAGGATCATTACAGTCTTGGAAGGTGAAAGTGTGATGGTGAATAGATGAGTACATTGTTCTGCTGGTGTTATGGGGCCTGTCTGGTTCCATCTCTCTCACCTTGGAGGCTGAGGGGGTTCATGCTCTCCATGTCCTGCTTTCACACTTTTAAAGAAAGGGAAAGTCCCCTATTTTCTAGAGAGATGGAGCCTAACAATTTGGCCTGTATCCTCCAGGGCAGCATTTTGTTTTTAGAGCCGTAGTAAATCAGACAGGAAGCTGGTAGCTAACTGCAGGCGTACAACCTATCGCCACAGGAAGAATACACGGCGTCTATTAGAGCCATTAATGACCGGTCCAGAACAATAACAGCAGGAAATGTGTTTCCCTGAGAGGCCTCGCTTTGGATTTATTTCACTAAGACCTGCAGCAAGTTCCAAGCAACAAACCGGAGTCACACCCAGCTCTGTGTGAGAGGATTTTTACCTGTATGTTTGTTTGGATGTCTGCAGGCCTGTTGAGTGAGTGCCTCGAAAGCGAAGGGCTACACTCTCACGATGTCTGAGGTCGGTTATGAGGAGAGTATCCCACAGTGGGAAATCCAGGTGGCTTTGTTGGTTTATGCTCCAGGGGGCAAATGGATTTCAAAGTGTGGAGTTGGATATACAACCTTCAGAAGGCTGCTCTCTGCTCTGCTGGTTTAAAAAGTCACATTTCTGTGTATGAAAATGCATAAGCCCTGAATAGAGAATAAAGTTTAAACTGTTTATTTATTCAGGTGCACATAATGCACATTCACAGTGGATTTTAAAAAGGGTTTTATTCCAAATTCATCCTGCATTCACAGCTCCAGAGATTAACTTGGTTGATGTCTGGATTTATTTACTGTTTTCATTTTGTTCTGTGTTGAATCTCTGAAGATATAGATGAACAGACTCACAGCTGTTTGAACACTCCTCATGTTACACTCGCTCCTCAGCATCTATGTTTGCACATCTTCCTTCATTACGTTGCGAAGAGAATAAAAGAGAATGAATCCTTTTGATATCTTGTTCTTATTAGGAGGATCTTTGAAGCTTAAGTGTGCTCAGTTTATTTGTTAGATGAGAAGCAAAGACTAACCTTTAGATGGATGGAAACGTTTAGCTTAGCTCTCAGGTCAAGATTTGACTTGATGAGATGTTTCTGGATAAATGGTAAAGCTGTATTATTTTGTACAAAGTTAAAAGATCCACCTTTGTTGTATTTGTTGATAACCAAATTAAATTTTATCGCAGTTACACCCATTGCAATTTTTCATAATATTGAGTCCACCTAAATAATCTTGGACTTCTCCCATATTTAGAGACTTTTGAAACTTTTTCATTTCTAATACGATACCAATATAGAATAGAATCTGTTTATTGTCCCACAATGGGGAAATTCTGGCGTTTACA